AAAGCAACATCTACAACCAGAATAATCCTGAGCTTACCCATGGTCTTTGATGCTTTCCTTCAGAACAACTAAGACATTGGTAATGAAATACTATCCTAGTCATCTCTACCCACTTTCAGCATTCTCAGTAGTCTATACCTAGACTGGTCCTTGGTCCCCATTGTGACTTGTTGATAAGAGGAGAGTAAATTCAGAGGTCGTGACAGATGGGCCTACCTCTTTCCTATGGAGGATGAGGACATTCCAGACAGCCAATAGTTAATCCCAGCCTAACCATCCAAGCCTGTGTCTCTTCTATAGTATTTGGTAGACTGGGTGACAGTGGGAACATGGCCCCAATGGCGCCACACCCGGAAGTTCTGTGGGTTTCTTCAAGATCTTGTCCATTTCCTCCAAAGACAAGCTGTTGTGGATTATTTAACCGTGTAAAGCTGTGTTGCATTTGTTCATGCTGCTTTTGTTTAATTATAAAAAAATGTGTTGCTGTTTCACCTTGGCTGCCTAAGGCACCCGATTGTTCTAATAAAAAGGCAAAGGGTCGATAGCTAGGCAGAGAAAGGATAAGCAGAGCTGGCAGGCAGAGAGAATAAACAGAAAAGAAGAAAAGGAGGGTGAGGGAGAGAGGGATGCCCTAGGCCAGCCAGGCACAGAGAAGCAGTGAAAGGAAAATATACAAAATGGAAAAAAGCCCCAATACAACATGTAGATACAGAGATATAGGCTGATTTAAGTTAAAGAAAAAAAACTACCAGAAATGAGCCTAAGCTAGGCCAGGCATTAAAAACTAATAATTCGGGCTGAGTGGTGGTGGGTGGGAGGCAGGGGCAAGGCAGATCTCTGTGAGTTCAAGGCCAGTCTGGTCTACAGAGTGATTACAAGCTCCAAAGATACACAGATAAACCCTGTCTCAAGAGAAAAACAAAAAACTAGTAAGTGTCTGTGTCATGATTTGGGAGCTGATTGATGACCTAAAAGAAAAGGCCTGTTACAACCAGCAATCCCCTGTCCTATATACAGTAACTATAATCGACAGACACTGGATCCCTGAAGACAGAGCCTGTGTTATGCCTCCTTCTTTCCACTACAATGTGTTCACCCCCAGCTCCTTCCTAGTAGCCCAGAGCTACAAACAAGGACAGGCAACAGCTCTTCAGTTTCCGCCATTGTTTGCAGCTTCCTAGAGCTGGGGTGGGCAATAGGGAGACTAAGATCTTGTTTTACCAGAATGGAACACGAAACACATGCATGCCTCAAAAGGAAAAAAAATGAAAAAACAAAACAAAACAAAAAAAAAACCAACAAGGCAGCAGACTTTTCCTGAAGGAGCCACACCTAAAAGCTGTGGCCTGTGGCTGGGATGATACTTGCTTCACAGGCATGAGAACTTGAGTTCAGATCCTCAGCACTCAGATAAGATCAATCACAGCGGAACATGTCTGTAACACCAACACTGGAGTCAGAGGAAAGAGACATCCAGAACTCTGCAACTCCCTGACCACCCAACCTAGTAGAAGAGCTCTGTGAGTCCCAGGTTTAGTGAGACCTTGACTCAAAACAATAAAAGAAAAACAGAGTGCCTACCTCGACACACATGTGAGCACCCACACATGCATATGCACACACACAAGAAACCATAACTACATACACAGACACACACACACACGTACGCACGCGCACACACACATGTGCACACGCACACACACACGAGCATGCACACGCACACACACAAATCAAAAGAAAAGTTAAAAAGAGCTTCAGAGATGAAGAGAGGTTATGCGCAATTTGTGGAAACTGTCTAGAGCAACATGAACTGTTCAGGTAGAGCACCCTCAGTCTCTCACCGCCTGCGCCTTGGCCAGTCCCGGGTCTCTGTTAATCTCTGCATTTGCAGAAGAGTCTCTGAAGATCCTTGAGAGACACATTATTTGTGTATATAACAATAAGACATTAGGAGTCAGTTTAATACTATGTCCTTTAGCAAAATAACGGTATTAGGTCTAGGTCCTTCCCTAGGGCCAATGGCTCATCTAGCCACAGATTATTGGCCCAAAAATGGTGCCAGGTCAGAGTCCTGTGGAGAAAGACTCCATCTCCTCCCCTCAGGGCTAAGAAATCATTGCAGAGCAGGGGGTAGAAACACTGTACCAGGCAGAGGTAGTAGATGAAGGAAACAATGTCCTCCAGACACAACAAGGCAGCTGTACATAGGAGTTCACAGTGGTTATTATAGTATACAAAAGCCCCATGAAACCTCAAGCCAGACCAAATCCCAGCATTGGGGTAGGGGTGGCATGAAGTTCCATCCATAGCTGAGGAGCTGTTGGTAATTGATAACATCTGGGAAAGAAGAGAGTCAATTTCTTATAAAGAATGTCACCACTGGTAGGTCAGCCACACTTCAGTGGATGGTCACACACCCATGAGTATATGGGCAGCACAGATTGTACTTTGTGGGGCAGACAGACAGAAGACAGAAAGTTGGGTGGGTAGGGAAGAAGATGGGAAAGGGGTGAATGTGGTCAAAACTCATTGTAGAAATTCTCAACAAACTAATAAAAAGAATATCACTGGTGCACAAAAGGACCTTGAGGACACATCCCCCATGGAGGGATACTGCCTTAACCGAGAGACAAGAGAGAAGTCCTAGTCCCTACTCCAAATGACCTGACAGATCTACCCACCTGGATGGCATTGCCCTACATATGGAATTGGGGTGGGGATGGGAGGGGAGGGTGGTGAGGGTGCATGTGAGAGGGCAGAGAGGGTAAAAGGGAGGGAGGGAGGGATAGGGAACTGGGATCGACATGTAAATAATAAATTTTAAAAATTAAATTTAAAAAAAGAAAAGAAAAAGATAAAAGGGAAACTAATAAGGTGTGCATGTGGAATTCCCTACTCCGGGCCTGAAGACAGAGAAAAACAGAAAAGCAAGCAGATGGGAAACCCGTACTATGGGGTCCAAAACTATGGACTCTTAGACCACACAAAGCTGTCACTCTTGGCAGCTCTTAGAGCCAGGGTGCCCAACAAGGAACGAGGGGCAGAAGAAACAGTCATGAAATCTAAGAGGCAGCCAAGCCCAGTAGTTCAACAAAACAGATCCAATCCTCTTCCTCCACAAGGAAAGAAAGCTGTGATTGGTTTGGGACAAATCACAAAGACGTTTAGGCATAATCAACAAAATAATAGGGGACCAGATATAAAGCACATAGAGGCATCAGGATGTGCAGTGCCTGCTGTAGGATTCCAGCCCTGTTCTAGAAAGATGGTCAAAGTTCAGTAGTTACCAGAGGTTGAAGAGAAGAGAGGAGATGCAGAGAAGGTTTAGGGTTTGGGGGACTGTGAGAATGCTCCCTGACACTGAGGTGGCTGATGTCTGCCATTACATATTTGTCACAATGCTGTAACTGTATACCAAGTGTGAACTCTGGCACACATATTGCTTTTGAGGTGGCAATGGGGGTATCCCTGTAGCTCAGCAGTTGTCACCTGTGGGTAGTGCAACTGGAAAATCAATGGACACTTGAGTACACTCCACAATCAAATGGAGCCTTCTGGTGATAGTGGTAGGTGCAAAGTAGATCATTTGCAAAGAAATGCCACCAGGAAGGTGCCTGTCAGCATTAAAGTCAAGTTAGGATCTGGAGAAATCAGAGCTTGTGACAGTAACAACTTCTCTAGCATGTGTGCAAGAGCAGAGGTCTCCCTGCAACTCTCTATATACAAAAGGGCCTACCAGACAGATCTGCTCCCAGGTACAGGACAGGACAGAGTAACAGTCACCCTGTTCTTCCAATGTCACAAGCAAACCCACCCTCCATGAGTACACAGTACTTTGTTGCAGTTTAGACAGAGAATTAGGAGGTGAAAATCCAACTGTGCCTTACACCAAATGGAAAGGAAGAGGGGCAAGGAAGAGGGGCATCCTGACTCACTATCTGAGATGGGCTCCCAAAAATTAATGATAAAGAGACACTGACTTGAGTGCTACACAGGGATGCCAGAGGAGGCTGGGCAGGACAGGTCACTTCCACATCCTCCCACGCCCAGGCTTGGTCTTGCCAGTCTATAATGCCCAGAAACTCGATGCATGGGCTCCAGACTATGTTATTTGGGTTCACGTTAAGATTTTGTAATTATTATTCATTGTCTATGAGTGTGTTTGCCTACATGTATGTTTGTGCACCACAAGCATGCTTGGTAGTTATGGAGGCCAGAAGAGTGTGGAACCCCTAGAACTGGAGTTACAGACTGTTGTGAGTTGCCATGTAGGTTCTGGGAATCAAACATGGGTTTTCCAAACAAGCACCCAGTGTTCTGAACCACAGAGCCAGCTCTAGTCTCCACTGGGGTTTACCTTAAAGAGAAACAAAACCAATAATTCCTGTGTTCCTGGAATACTGAGATTGTCCTAAACATTTTATATCAGTCAGCATCAGGGACATACATGCTGCTGTTGTCATTTCTATTTCACAGTGAAACAATGGGGACCCAGAGAGTTTAAGCAACATGCTCAAGGTCTTGAGCCCAGGACTTGAACCCAGACAGCTTGAGCCCAGAGCCTGAATTTGAACATCTACACTAAATTTCAAAATCTTTCTCTCTAGAAGGTAACTTATCGCATTAGAAAGGCAAATTTGCTGCCAGTATAGCCTTCTGCCCCGGGAGGAAATGAGTTCTTTGTAGCCCATGAGGACATAAGTCCTGTGCTGCTCTGACTCACCATCCTCCCAGCTGATGAGTGAGAACACCAAAAGTGGAAAACAAAGGAGTTTATCTAGATAAGAAAGACTATAAGACACTGTTCAGAGGAGGGAGGAAATAGGAAGTTGCACGCACCTGGACCTGGACAGCACTGAGATCTGTGAGTGGAGACACAGAGACTTCAGTGAAGTTCGGCTGGGGAGGTGAAAAGTCGGTCAGTAGGCAAAGGACAAGACTGAAGGACGAGGCACCGTGAGGAGCAAGCTTAGAGAGGGGGATACGTAAGTCCTCCATCCTGTGCTGTCTTCCAGAGCCATGGGGATCGCACAAAGGACCCTGACACTGGGCTGGGTGGCTGCCATCTTGCTGCTACAGATGGCCATGGCAGAGCACCCCATGTGGAACTTAAATGGCAAGACGCAGGTATTCTTAGACCTGACTCCTTTTGAGATGAAGGCCGTGCACAGCTTCCTGATGAACAGGAAGGAGCTTCAATTGCAGCCATCCAAGACACCCACTTTGGCCAAGAACTCCCTGTACCTCATGGAGATGCTGCTACCCAATAAAAAGGATGTACTGAATTTTCTGGACAAAGGAAAAAGGAGTCCTGTGCGGGAAGCCCGTGTTGTCATCTTCTTTGGTGCCCAGGAGTACCCTAATGTCACTGAGTTTGCTATTGGGCCCCTGCCATTGCCCATCTACATGAGAGAAATACTTCCCAGGCCTGACCAACATCCATCCTGGGCATCCAGACCTATCTCCAAAGCAGAGTACAGCCTTATTCTCTCTACCCTGAAGAAGGCCACTGAGCCCCTGAATCAGTTCTTCCTTGACACTACTGACTACTCACTAAAGGACTGTGTTGAGAGTTGTCTGACTTTCACGTATGTGGCCCCCCATGGCACAAAGCCTGGCCAGCGCCGTAGCTGGTTTATCTTGCAGCGTTATATGGCAGACCACTTCCTGCAGCCCACAGGCCTAGAGATCCTTCTGGATCACGGGAACATTGATGTCCAGCTCTGGAAAGTGGAGCAGGTCTGGTATAATGGCAAGCTTTATGACAGTCCACAGGAACTGGCTCAGAAATACGAGGGTGGAGAAGTGGACACAGTGGTCCTTATGGAGTCACTGCCCAGGAATCCGGAGCAGCCCCCACTCTTCTCTTTCTCCAGTACCCCAGAGGAATTCCCCACCACCATCAGCATGGCTAGCCCCAGAGTGGCTGAGTCCCACCTCCCTCCATATAACATAGAGGGCAACACAGTGTACTACAGAGACTGGATCTTCTCCTTCCGTCTCCGACCCTCTTCTGGTTTACAGATACTGAATGTGCACTTCCGGGGTATGCGTATTGCATATGAAGTCAGCGTACAAGAGGCTGTGGCACAGTTTGGAGGACATATAACTGCAGGCATTCGGACCAAGTACATGGATGTGGGCTGGGCCCCAAACAATGTCATTCACCGGTTAGTCCATGGCATTGATTGTCCAGACGCAGCCACCTTCCTGGAAGTCATACACCACTATGACACTGACATACCAGTCTCCTATCCACAAGCTCTCTGTCTCTTTGAGATGCCAGCAGGAATACCAATTAAACGCCACTTTAACTCCAACTTTAAAGTCGACTTCAACTCCAGTGCAGAGATGAAGGGGTACATGCTAGTGTTACGGACAACCTCAACAGTCCACCACTATAATTATATTTGGGACTTCATTTTCTACCCTAATGGGGCAATGGAAACAAAGATGCAAGCCACTGGCTTGGTCCATGCTACCTTCTTCCAGCCCAAAGAGATGAGCTACATCTCTCAATCACACACCCACCTATTCAGCAACCTCCACACTCACCTTGTACATTACCGTATTGACCTGGATGTGGCAGGTAGGACTTGGAACCACACCAACTCAGACATTCAACTACTACCCATATATAACTTTACTCCATAGGTTGGGGCTAAGACTCCTTGGCATAATATCAGGAGATCGTTTCAGCAACATTCCATGTGAAGAGAAATACACACTCCTGAAAATGGTAGCAGTAAATGGTACCCTAGGGTTGCCCTGATTTTAAAGTGTGTATCTGTTCTTATTGGGGCTAAGTAGAATGGTGCATAGGGTTGGGGAGGGGGAGGTTCCATGTAGGTTTAACAACGCCTCTGCCTAGCGCTTTGAGATGGGTTGTAATACTGTTTGGGAGTGCTCAGTTTGTTTCTTACAAATGTCATCATAAAAGAATGGCAGAGAAGTGATGTTTGACATCACATCCCATAACTGAACAGGGCCACCAGACCACATAGGAGGCTTCCATATGTTCATTCCCACTGGGCCCTCTGATCAGGGATATGCAGACAGTCCTCAAGCCTCAGAAACATAGGCCTCCTGTTCTACATGGTCAAAATCACAGCAAACAGGCTCAGTTGAGCTCTCCAGAGAATGGCGGGTAGCAATGAAACTGCCACCTTTGCCAGAAACTAGCTCCCCAAGTTTCCGGTTTGCTTGGTCTTGTAGCCCATTCTGCTAAGCAAGTGTCTGCCCCTAGCATGGCTTCTTCCTGGCAGTTATCTGTGGGTATTGCCTAGGTGGAGGCCCTGGAGGAGAGGGAGACAGTGTCTGTTTCGAGAACTGATTCTCACTGTTTCTCCCCTTCTGCCACCAGGCAGCAGGAACAGCTTCCAGACACTGAAGCCCATTCAGGGAAACATCACCAAGGACCTGAGACATCATGTAATGAGAAACACCCTAAAGCAAACGAATTACTCCCAGGAGCACCAGGCAGCCTTCCACTTCGGAAAACCACTCCCCACTTACCTGGTCTTTAGCAACCTCCATAGGGCCCATTTTGACCACAGGAATAGCTACCGCCTGCAGATCTACTCCAAAATCCAACAGCTGGAACTACCAGGCTGGCAGAAGTATCGAGGTCTCTCTTGGGCCAGGTGAGACAATCTAGTGAGTTTGGGGAGCATGGTCAGGGGCTCCCCTCAGTGGTTGTATGTCCTGGAATGTTTATGGCTGTCTTTACATCTGGATGTGTACCCTTGTGCATTTGAGAAGGGAGCAGAAGTACCCTGGCCCTGAGATGGTGATAGGCAATTCTGCAAACCTCTGGGGTAGAAACAGTCAATATGGAGAATGACTAAATTCTCCATCCTTGACACTGGGGATCTCCCTGAGAAGAGACCAGATGCAACCCCAGTGCCCAGAGCTCGCTTCTTCTTGGCCTATAGGTACCCCCTGGCTGTGACCAAATACCGGGACTCTGAGAGGTGCAGCAGCAGCATCTACAGCCAGAATAATCCCTGGAACCCCCCAATAGTCTTCAAGAGCTTCATTCAGAATAATACGAACATTGAAGACAAGGTAACACCCCAGGACCCCCTGCCCACATCAGGCCTGTCACCAACCACTGCCAAACCTGTCACTTGTCCCAGGGGCTGTGCTTACTGGGGGTACACAAGTTCAGGGGTCACGGCATATGGTCTGCTTTTTAAAATGATATTGAAGACATCTCAGGAAGTGGGTAGGCACACTTGAACACATCACAAGCTGGAAAAACTTCCTGTGACCTGTACTCAGCACTGCCCTGTCCATTGAGTCCTCTGTCTCTCCAATAGGATCTGGTGGCCTGGGTCACAGTGGGCTTCCACAACATGCCCCATTTTGAGGATAGTGCCAACATGACCACACTTGGGAACTCTGCAGGCTTCGTGCTCCGGCCCTTTAGTTTCTTCCGTGGCTTCTAGAGACACCCAGGTATAAAATCTACACAATTGCATCAGGCACTGGCTCCCTGAGGATAGAGCCAGTTTGACACCTCCTCCCTTCAACCTCAACAGGACCTACAACCCTGTGTGTAGAATCCCGCCCCAACTCCTGCTTACCAGCCCCAGATCTGCACAAGGGTAGACAATAAACTTTTCAGCTTCCACCCTTGAATGCTGCTTCTTAGTGGCAGGGGAAGGGCATGGGCCACACCCAGATGGGTGACCATAGTTACATTTCAGCTGTCTACTGCCCCCAGAAGGACCTTAATGACAAGGGCAGAGGATACTTGAACTCTTTACCAGGTAATTTTTCAACATCTGGGATGGCTGCGGGGTAATGTTCTACCTCAATGACAGCCATTCAGAGTGAGGAAGGGGGATACTATGGAGATACCTCAAAATATTATCAACATTTTCATCCTGTGGCCATTGTTCTGCACCTAACATTTACCCTCACCCAACAATCTGCATGGAGCTGTCACTCATGATAACTATTAGAATCAGGCCCCCAACAAGGATCCCAGAGCAGAAGACACATTGTTAAAGCTAAAGAGCAACCAAGCTCAAAGGTTCAATAAAACTGATCCCATTTTTCTCCTCCTCCACAAGAAAGGGCTGTGACCAACTGGCTCACAGGAGTTCACAAAGTACATTAGAAATCAGAGGCCAGATCACATGTCTCTATCTATCTATCTATCTATCTTTGCGTGTGTGCGTGCGTGCGTGGGTGTGTGTGTGTGTGTGTGTGCTGATCCTACGAAGCTGAGGGTAACTTGAGAGCTGAAAGCCTCCATTCATCTTACTCTCTGTCTTTCTCTAGCTGTCTGGTCTTACTCTATGTGCAGTGGGGGGGGGCTTGCTTGTTCCTCCTGAGTGGAACCAGGGGCATCCAGAGCAGAGGTCAAGGTGTGCTCTGACTGGACAGCAATGACGCTGGTAGGGAGTGCAAGGCGCCATGATAGCACAGGAGCCAGGGAGTGCAAAGGCTGAGTTCCTTTGTGAAGTAGGGTTCTGGCCAGCTTTGCCCGGAGGCACAGAAGATGAACTTGGAACAGAGAGCTGAGACAGAAATCTTTTAACTGTCCAGAAGAACCTACAATGAAAGCTGGGCTTCTTGTGAGCAAACATGTTGTGCTCATGGAATGTGTGACACACACAAACACAAAACCATGAAGTGTCCACAATGTTCATATTCTGCAGCGCAGCTCCCCTCATGTCCCCTTTGCCTAATTCCTGCCCTGCAAGCCCTTTTTAGGTGACTACCCTGCGCCCACTGAAGGTCTCATCCTGTAATAGGCCCAGTGACAGACACCCCCCCCGCCCCCCGCAGCTGTTGTTCACTGTGTTTCTATCTCCAGATTTCTTCCAAGGGCTTCCAATCTGGGGAACCAAAGACAACTAATTACCAGTGTCAGCCAGGTCCTCTCAGAGTCCTTCCATTTAGTCACAGACCCAAGCCATAAGCCAGGACTCTAGACCCCACCCCTATCTACAGAGTGAGAAATGCAGAGACCCAGAGAGACCGTAGAGCAGTATTCCCATATCAGAAAGAACCTTCTGGAAACTCCTTTGTAGAGAAATGTCATGGGTAAGAGATTCCTACTAGAGCCCACCATCATGGAAGTCAAGTCAGCATCTAGAAAAACCCAGGACTGGTGACAGTGACAGCACCCTCTATGTGTGCAAGAACCAAAGTCTCCCAGAAGTCTACACACAGTGGAACAGCCTCACCCCAAAGCATAAAGAAGGGCAGGATGGCAGCCATAAAGGCTTTCTTGCATCAAAGACACTTCCCTGCTTATTTTGCCAGGGATTTCATGGCCAGTTAGGCACTGAATACCTTACTCTGCCCTCCCCCAAATAGTGAAAGAGAAGGCATTCTCCCACACTCTCTGAAACAGTTTGCAAGGGTGCTCTAACAACTTCAATGGTCAAGAGACCCCCAACTTAATACCCCAGTTGGAGGCCAGAGAATCCTGGGAACGGATTCTTGTTTCACAGCCTAGACTCAAAACAACTAATCTGAAGTGTTCACAACCTCCGATGCATTGGGACCAGACTATCATCAGTGTACACTTATTCTGTGTTCATATAGGCTGACGTCCAATGAATTTTATATTTATTATCAGGTTGTTTCTGTCACCAACACTTAGGAGGACATGGTGTGGTTCATATTTTCATTTCACAGTTCAGAAAATGGAGAGTTTTTTTTAACAAAATGGAGGTTTTTTTAAGTTTATTTTTTTATTAATTTATTTTTACATTCCAATCCCCATTCCCCCTCCTCTCCTCCTTCTACCCCCACTTCCCTCCCCCACCTCCAATCAGCTTCTCAAAGAGGGTAAGGCCTCCTCTAGGAAGTCTATTAAGTCTGTCCCATCAAGTCCTTGAGGCAGGACCAAGGCACCTCTCCACCCCCACACACACCCTTGTGTCTAAACTGAGCAAGGTATCTCTCCGTATAGAATGGGCTCCACTGAGCCAGTGACCTCATATATTGTCCCAGTCACACCATTGTCACCTATATTAAGGGAGTCTAGTTGGATCTTATGCAGGTTCCCCATTTGTCAGACCAGAGGCAGTGATCTCACTAGCTCAGGTCAGCTGATTCTGTGTTTCCCCAGCATGGTCTTGATTCCTTTTTCGACTTTAAGCAACATGACCAAGGCGGCATCACTTTTCATTAACGATGTAATTTGCTGGAACTTGAACCCAGGCAGAACTCAGCATGTTGAACATATAGGCTCTGTTTTAAAAAAGCAAACCCACACAGTGTGTTTTGTTGTGTCAAAAAGGAAGTGTTGCTGTTAGTAGAGCCCTTAGTCCCACCACAACATAAATAAATATACCCTTGAGGACCCAGCCTTGGGCTGTGAGTCATGATGACTCATGGTGACCCTAGCTGAAGAATGTTCTCCCACAGAGATAAAGCCCTAGTAAGACAAAACACGGCAATGTTTGAAGGTAAGAGAGGCTGTAGATTTATAATGAGGGAATTCATTGGGGTATGCTACACAGGGATGTGAACAGAGTTGGGAACCACGAGTGAGGACCCAGGCTCTCAAGCTCCAGGATGTCTAGCCTAAGCTGAGGTGAAGGAAAGTTTTATCAGGAGGAAAAGCATGGTGCTTACAGACAAGAGAGTCCAGGTGACATCTTGGAGAGAGAAACAGCTAAGTCCCCTCCTGTCCTCTGATGAGTTATATAGCCATGGAGCTACAACAGCAGTCAACTATTACTTTGCTTCTTCAGACAACCTCAGCAAAGCCTACTGTGTGTGCCCTGAGCCCAGTGCTATGGTGTCCCTGAACCTGGATGCCCAGGGGCTGAAGGTGGGACACAGCTTCCTGAAGAACATGGTGGAGCTGGAGTTGCAGCCACTTAAGATGCTCTTCTGGACCAGAGCTCTCTGTCTCTGGTTGAAATGCTGCTGGATTTTTTGATAAAATAACAAGAAAGCCTGTGCAGGAAGCTCATGCCATCATGTTTTTTGGATCAAAGGAGCACCTCCAGTGTGCCCAAGTTTGCTGTAGGGCCTCACCCTACATGAGAACTCCATCCCCTGTGTCAGGCAGGCATCAATCCTGAGCATCCAGCTTCATCTCCAAGGAAGAATATAGTCTCTCCTGTGGCAACCTGAAGGAGGCACCAAGCCCTTCAACTCTTTTTCCTTGGCATTACCGGCTCCTCTCTCCTGGACCAGAGCTACCTAGTGATTCACTTCCTCCAGTGTGGCCCCGTGCAGTATGGAGTCTGAGCATTGCTATAGATGGTTCATCACAGAGCATTATGGAAGTCAGCTTCCTACACCCCGTGTGGCTGGAAATCCTCTTAGATCAAGAGATCACAGAAGTCCAGGACTGGAGAGTGGAAAAGGTCTAATATAATGGCAAATTCTACAACAGCCCAGAGGAACTGATTCAGAGATGGGGAAGTGGGCACAGTGGTCCTCAAGGACCCTCTGTCTGATGGCACAGAGCAGTCCCACTCTTTTCCTCATACAAACCCCGTGGGGAATTTGCTTTGTCCGTCAACATAGCTGGCTTCAAGTGGTCCAGTTCAATGGTCCCTGCTACAGAACACTTGCTCTGGGGAGGCCGGAGCTTCTCCTTCCAGCTTTGCACTCCCCTTGAGTTTCAGATTTTTAATGCATACTTTGGGGTGAACTTGTCACCTACAAAATTAGCAGGCTAGGAGCTGTGGCACTGTATAGTAGACACACACCTGCAGGCACACAGACCAGCAACCTAGATGAATGCTGAGCACTGTATAGTAGACACACAAGCAACCTAGATGAATGCTGAGGCCTGGGCAGTGTCACTTACCAGTAAGACCTGACATCAACTGTTCAGACACAGACACCTTCCTGGATGCACCCACTACTATAACACTGATGACACCCATCCATTGCCCACAAGCCCTGTACCTCTTTAAGATGCCCAAAGAGAGGTTCACTGGGCATTATTTTAACTTGGTTTTAGAGGCAGCTTCAACTCCTACATAGAGATAAAGGAACACAGGCTGGTTTCTTTGGATGCTGGTTCTTTGGATGACCTCTAGTCTACATCCAAAATTTCATCTGGGATTTCATCTTCTCCCTGAATGGCCTGATGGAGGCCAGGATGCCAGGTCACATCATGACCCTTTTTATACTCCCAGGGGCTATATATGGCACCCACTCACACGCCCACTATTTGGGAACTCCAAAACTCACCTATTTTATTATCCCCTAGACCTGATCTTGGCAGGTCTTATTTGACACCAGCCCTTCCCTGTCACTCAGCTGTCTTCCACCAGAGACAAGATTCCCTGGCATAAAATCAAGAGTATTCATTCAACACTCTCCTGGGCTAAAAGAAACGTGTATCTATGAAAGTTGGAAGCAATAAATGATACTCTAGAGTATACTTAAATGTGAGGTGTGCATCTGCCCTTGTTGGGGCAGAGCATTGGGGAGGAGGTGAAAAATGCCACTATATAGCACTTTAAGATGGACATAGTGCCATCTGGGGGTGCTCAGTGTGAGTCTCAGATAAATGATGTCAACAGAGATGAATGGCATGGCTCTGGTGCTTGACATCAGATCCCAGAACAGAACAAAGCCACAAGGACCAGATCCATGGATTCTATCCACTCAGCCCTACCTGGCCCCCCAGCTAAGAGGAAACCAGCAAATTCTCTTTTTATCAGATTCACAGGCAGACCTCTCTTGAAGACTAAAACCCCAGCAGATGCGCTAGATCACATTGAAATCCCCAGAGTTGCAAGACTGACCCATTAGCTGTCCTCTAGCTCCTCTGGATTTGGGTTTTCTAAGTCTCCCTGCCCACACGGCTAGCTCA